CCTATGAACTCCTGAAGCGTTAGGGGTGCATCTGGACACAGATCATAATGCATACTATTAGGATAGTTCGTAGGTGAATTAAGCTTTCTTCTTTTGTGGCCATAAAACTTACGTAACTTTGCAACCAATGCCTTAATTCTTAATAGAGGCTCTAGTACGTGGTGTTCTAAACTCTTTCTGGGGAATAGTTCAGTCTACATAGAGGCCTCTTTTGGTAATTTAAATCACAGCTTTGAGACTCAGAATGCACTAATAATTCTTTGAGTTGACAGCAGGTGGCAGAATGGCATCAATTTATACTCTACAGTTAAAACTGATGCTTTATCTTTTTTTTTTTTTACCTCATTTAAGTATTTTATATGTACAGTTTCTCTGAAACAAGAATTGTGGGATAAAGAAACACATTTAACTTGCTTTATATTGATCTACCTACATTAAAATACCGGAGGAGCAAGTTGATGGGCATAGACCAACATTAGGAGAGGCAGAAGCAGATTTATAGGAAGCAAAAGAAGCTTAGCTGTAGGGCCCCTTCCAGAGCCTTCAAAAAGGCACTTGGACTGTACATTTTAAAAAAGTAAGACATTTTCTTTTTGTCTCATAGTGGCCCCGCCACATTTATACAAGCTTCGGGCCTCACAAAGCTTGGATTTATTTAGAAGTAGCCACGTGACTCTTAACTTGAGAAAGAGAAGCAGTCTGCCACTATTAATTTTGCTAACAATTTACTCTCTAGGGAGGAGGGGAAATCTGGTTTTTTAAAATAAGCCAAATAAAAAGAAAATAAATAGCTAAATGAACTGGCACTTATTTATAAGTCTGAGTAAACTCAGTTAACACTGAAGCTTTTTCAGTGACTGCATAATATCTGTACTTAAAAAGGGAAGCACAGAAGATTACCGTTAGCAAATTAATAAATTATTCTCTGCTAAGACTCTAGTAATATGTGGCAGCATTTGAGGATTTTATCAACTTCAGAGCTAGTTGTTTTTGTGTCCATTGGTGACTTTTTCAAAGGAACTGTGCTTATGTTTACATGACTTAAATTTCTCAATAAGAAATTGCAATTAGCATCTCTCTCTCTTTCGCTCTCTCTCTTTCTCTCTCCCTCTCTTTCCCTCTTTCTCACTGCTGAGGATTGAACCTATATGCTCACCCATTCTTACAGTTACCTACTCATCAGTAATGGAGCTAAAATTGACCTTTTGGGAAATAAAAGTTAAACTTTTCAATTGGCACACATTTATCAGTGTTGGCTTGTACTCTGTTTGGATCCATGTGTAGCCATCATTCAGAACTAAAACTACTGCTGCCTACTGAGTGAGCCCCTGTGTTGCCTTGCGACCATTCTGTATGGCTCCAAGCCTGTTCTTCTGGGAAGGCTGTGTTTCAGAAGGCAAACTGTGCATAGGAGTTCCATGGCTGACATGGTGGTGAGGAAGTAGAAAATGCTCCCGGCATGGCCTGAACGTCCAGATTGGGTGAGAAGCTGTTCCGAAGCTGAGCTGTCCTTGCAAAGCCCTTGGTTTATGGCCTTGCCTAGTCTCTCAGGTCCTTGAGCGCACTGTGAAATGATGGCATCTTTGGCCAGGTGTTGGATCTGGGTCATGAGGAAAGGGACGTGAGCCAGTACCTCAGTCTCCACCTTCTTTTAAAGGCCGGTCAGTGGTTATTGGGTGTACCACAGACACTCCACATTTCCAGATTCAGAATCATGGTGAAGCAAGGACCTACCCAGGAATGTTTTGTGAGAGTCCTCCCCTCCTCTGGCCGTGGTAGACTCATCCATCTGGGGATCATACTCCAAACATACAGAGTCAACCCAAGAGCTGGCCATGGGGGCAGGCCTTTCTAATCCTAGCACTCTGGGAGGCTGAGGCATGAAGGTAGCAAGTTCATGCCCAGCCTTGGCAAGTTAGTAATTTGGCAATGCCCTGTCTCAAAAATTTTAAAAGGTGAGGATGTAGCTCAGTGCAAAGACCGTGGTTCAATCCCCTGTTTCTGTCTGTCTGTCTGTCTGTCTCTGTCTCTCTCATACACACACACCACAATGAACCCTTGGACAGATAAGTCTTGTTAGTTTGTCCCCTTAAATTAGGAGAGCTAACAGATTCCCTGCATTCAACATGCTATGAGGCCAAACCATGAAAGTTTCTACTTCAGTAGCTCAAGTTCAGTCATGAACACGTATGGCCTCTGCCTACCAGTGGAGTGAGTGTTTGGACCATGCTTTAAGACAAAGTTAGGGAGGTGATCCAACATCATTTCTGCCTCCTCCGACATCCCTTTTTTCTTAGTAGAACTCCAGTGTTTTTAGGACATGAAACCTCAGCCTCAAAAGAATAGGTCCAGTGGCTGATTTGGTTTAGGAATGACACACATCGATAACTGGGGAATCAATAATCTTCTAGGGAAGATTTCCTCACTTCTAAGTGAAAAACACAGTAAGACAGAGTCCTGTCATCCTCTGGAACGATCAGACCTTTACGTGGCATGTATAACTGTGGCTACATGCAATTCAGGAGCAACTAAATAATCTGATGATCCATCACTTCTCTTGTTTTTTAAATTACTTTATTGGTATACCTTATACATAATGATCATGTTCGTTATAAGGAATTTGTACCCGTATATGATATATCTTGGTGGTTCTTCTTTTTCTATTCCGCTGTCCTCTATATTCAAGCCGTATTCCTCTCTTTATAAAAGCTTTGTTTCCATATTTTTCTTCTTTTCTTGCATTTTTTCCACTCCCCCACCCATTTCCCTTTCGATTTGAACATTTTCTTCCTATTTCACAATGTCTGTTACACATTTTGGTCCTTGTTTTCGCTTTTGGTTTGTCACACCAGAGAAATGATTTGGTATTTTCATATGTGTCTGATTTATTTCACTTAAAAGTATGACCTCAAGGTGTGTAACCATTTTAAGCTAGAAATGTCTTGTTTATCCTTCTTTATAGCTGAGTACTACTCCATCGTATAAAAACCCCATATCTTCTTCTTCTTCTTCTACTTCCTTTTTTTTTGGTACTGGGGATCGAACTCACAACCTTGTGCTTGCCAGGCAGGTGCTTCCACCACTGAGCTAAATCCCTGGCCCAACCCCATACCTTCTTTAACCATTCATCAGTTGATTGATATTTGGGAGTGTTTCCAAGATTTTGCTATTAAAAATTGTGCTGCTATAAACATGGGTATGCATGTATCACTGTGGTATGATGCTTTTAATTCTAGCTAAGAAGTGTAATATCTAGGATGAATGGGATCTCTAATGCTAGTTTTTAGCCACTGATTTCCACAGTGGCTGCACTAATCTACACCAACAGTGGAGAAGGGTTCCTTTCCCCCACAACCCTGCCAGCAATTGTTATTGGTTGATTTCTTGATAACAGTCATGCTTTCCAGAATGAGATAGAATCTCAGTGTTGTTTTAATTTGCATCTCTTGAATGACCAGTGATGCTGAACTCTGTTCACGTATTTATTCACTGTTTGTACTTCTTCACCTGAAAATTGCCTATTCATTTCAGATGCCCATTTTTGGATTGGGTCTTTAAATTTGGGGGGGGGGTCTGATTATTTTGAGTTCTTTACATATTCTAGATATTATTCCTTTGAGGAACAGCTGGCAAAACCTTTTTCCCACTCTATGGATTGTCTCTTGACTTTGTTGGTGGTTTTGCTGTGCAAAAGCTTTTTAATAAGATGAAATCTCAATTGTTGATTCTTTGTGATATTTCCTGCGTGATCAGGGTTTTGTTCATAACATCTGCCTACACCTGTGTCTTAAAGAGTTCTGCCTATTTCATTATAGTAACCATTGTTGATCACCTTGTATTATGTTTTTACATTATCTATTATGTCCACCCTTTTGACTTGACTGATTCTGTTCTGTTATGTCACATTTGGTTTTACTCTCTTCCAAAAAAGTAATAAGAACCGTGGGAGCAATGAAACCCAAAATGTGTAATAGTCATTGTACAAAAGAGAGGAAAAGAAAGTGCTCTAAACTATATAACTGCATATATATTTAAGTGTATAAGATAGAAAATGATATCACTGAGTTTTATTGGATCATTGAACAGAACTGTTTGCAGTATCATTGTTGGAATGTCCACTTTACAAGCTTTAATTTTGTGACTTAATTTTCTGACAATTATTTCTAAGATGACAATATGTAATCCATTAACTAGTGATTTCCTACTGTTTATTTTTTTTCTGTAAATCTGTATAACTTGTACCCTTTCTCTGCTTTTTTTTTCTCCTTAAATAAAATTAAAAAAAAAAGAGTTCTGCCTATTTGATCTTCCAGCAGATTTAGTGTTTCTGGTTTTTTTTTTTTTTTTTTGGTACCAGGGATTGAAGTCATGACCTCACACTTGCCAGGTAGGCGCATATGTCACTAAATCCCTAGTCCTAATGCTCCTGTTTTAATGTTTAGATCTTTGAAACATTTTGAGTTTAGTTTAATGCATGGTGAGACATGTGGGTCTCAGGTTAATCTTTGGCGTGTAGAAAGCTTCTTCTCCTGTAAGAGGCTGTTTTCCTCCCAGTGAGGTTGGCCCCTTTGTCAAAGATAAGGCGGCTGAGTGTGTTGGGAGTTGTTTCTGTGTCTTCTTATCTGTTCCATTGATCCTCATGTCTGGTTTTTTTTGTTTGTTTGTTTGTTTTTTGGCAGTATGCTGTTTTTATCATGGTAGTATAAATAATGAAATGTATTTCTTTCATTTTCACATCTGCTTATCTATCCACTTATCTGTCTACCTATCTTTTGATTTGTTTTCTGTATAGAGTTTAAAAGAATTCTTTTGAAGTTGTCAAGGCTTTATTTATCAGTGTGTTATAAGAGTACCAAATTGTCTAAAATGCTGTGTAAGTTTTGGAGAATGATTTCTTTTGGTTAATTGGAAATATACATGAAGAATTTTGACTTTGGGTTTCTTGACTTTTCATTGTTCTGGATAGCTTATTGACATGTCCGTGTTCCTCCTCTTTCCAGAGCTTTGGATATACCAGATGAGAGCCAGCAGGAGTCCCAGGAATTTACAGTGCATTGTGAGGAGTCTCAGACCACCAGCGAGCTGCCTCCTTCATCTGCAGACTCTGGGACATTTAAAAAGGTAACGCTTCCTTTTCAACATTTGGTGGCCAGGAATAAACACTTAAAGAGCTAAAGCATGGTAAGATAACCCCTAACTGAAAAACATATCTTACAAGGAACATTATAAATTACATATCATAAATAAGATAGTGTTTATTACATATTTATCATATAGTAATTATGTTTAACATGATTGTGAAGGAATTATGTATGAGATATATATCAAGTACGATATAACATGTATCAAAGTACACGATAATTAGCAGTGAGTCTCATGGCGGAGTCTCACCTTTGCTGTGCTCTGTCTTCAAGTACTTTCCCTTACTTACTGTGCCTGTGACCTGTTTGTTCTGCTTTTATACAAACTGTGCTTTAATGCAGGTACACAAAGTAATATGACGTCAATATTTGGAATAAGTAGGTCTTTCCCATGAAAAGAATCTATGTTTTTTCCTATTGTAATGCATTTAGAGTTTATTATTTTATGAGTTATTTCCTAAAGTTCGGATGTTTGCTCAGAAAGTTCTGCCTGCATTATATGACTTTAAAAGAACAGTTTTCTCCCAGAGGAGAGGTAGAGAAGTATATTCCTGCTTTCATTTACTTCCGAAAGGACGGCAGTCTTGTGCTTACTACCACAGGGTAGGACAGCAGAGCAGTATCTTCAGTCGCAGTGGGAATGAGAGCTGGTGAGCTGCCTTGAAGGCTGTGTACTTTTGTTGTTTTTTTACAACTTATTAGGTCAGTGACTAATTGTCAGTGACTCTGTTAGGAAATGAAGTCCTCCCCAAATGCACCAGACGTTGCTTTACTATGCTTTAGTTATAGCTTATTTTTTTCTTGTTGCTGGGACAAAATACCCCACACCCAAAGTTAGAGGAGGAAAGGTTTATTTAGTTCAGTTAGTTGAGGTTTCACTTCATAGTTGGCTGGATCCAAAGCAGTGTGGCGTGGCAGAGGGGCATTGCACAGTCTGCAAAACAGGGCAGGCGGAAGGCAACAGGCAGCCAGCACCAATGGACACGGGACATGGGACAAGCAGGGACCCTCTTTCCGTCCCTTTGTTTGCATCTAGGCTGCCTTGCTAAGTGGGCAGACAGCACTCACACCCGTAATCCTAGCATCACACCATCAATAAATCCTAATCTTCCTTAATCCCAACATCGCAGGCTCCAGACTCAGCCACCTCCAAAAGCGCCACCTATGCCTGCATGAAGCTTTGCAGGGTCGCAGCTAGACAGACGCCCATAACAAGTAATGTTATATATGAAAAGTAAAATGAAATTACTTAGTGAAAGATGGAGAGTTCTGGGAAAGTGAAACAGCATGAATATACTTGCAATTATTGACCTATGTAGCTAAAAATAGCCAAGATGTTCAATGTTAGGTATATTTTACCATAATTAAAAATAAAAATCGAGCAAGACCCCAAATCTTATTCCCAGTGATTCAGGGGAATGAAACTCCCGACCTACTATGTCTGCGAGTTTATGTTCTTTAAAATCGAAGAATGAATTTTAGTAACAACAGAGCTTAAGAGTAGAGTGTATTTATTGAGAGAAAGAAAGCTTCTGTCTGAAGAGAGACAGAAGAGGTGCCCAGGGGTCCTGAGCCGGTTGCCAAGGACTCTGTCTTTTCCAGGACTTTTATAGAGCAAAACCATGAGGTGAGACGGGTCCAAGGTGGGGGAAGACTAAGAACTCACAAGGCAGATGGGCTTAAGGTGCGCATAACCAGTTAGCCAGTAAGATTAGTAGTTCAGGTAAAATTGATTAAATTGGGGACAAATGGAAGTGGGCATTCTTAGAGCTGAGACTCTTTCCTAGGGGATGGGATGGTGACTCTAGGCTTCCTCAGGGTGTTAGGGAGCTAATTAGAACAGCAGTCTTTAGGATGTGGATGCACTGGTTTAACCCTTTGCCTTGAGGTCTGGCCACGGCGGGAGGTATCGTTTCCTCAGTGGTGCAGTTGCCAGGTATCTCAGCTGATGCATTGGCTCCTTTGAGGGCCTCGCTTTCCTGTAATATTTCTGAGTAACTCAGCTGCCTGCAACACCAGCACCAAAAACAGAATCTAAAAAAATTACTTAGGCTGGGGGTGTTGGTTCCCGCCTGTGATTTCAGCACTCAGGAGGCTGAGGCAGAAGGCCTGCCGCAGGTTTGAGGCCAGCGTGGCTACATAGTGAGTTCAAGACCAGCCTGAAGTGCATAGTGAGACCCTGTCTCAAACACCCACCCCAAAAAATCAGTGGTGGGAAGCAGAAAGAAAAAGGGTGTGATAAAGTTATTGGCTCATACTCTGTATTTCATTAGACCATGGCAAAAGTAGATTGGGAGATTAAATACAGAGTGTTTTCTAACGCAAAAAAAAGCAGAACATTAAAAGGAAAAATACAAAAATTTTAGAAAACATCGAAATAAAAAATCAAATTTAAATTAAAAAATTAAACAACCTGACTTATTGTACTTTAAACTTACTTACAAATTCATTTCTCATTTTGTTCTTCCTCTTTGTAACTAGAAAAACAACATTGGATAAATCTGATTACTCGATCTAGCTAGAGTTTCAAGTAATCTGTTTGGCCTTTAATAACTATATCTTTTATCATTTAAGGTAAAAATAATTCTGTAAGTGTAATGGAATTAAATTTTCTATCATGTTACTTATGTTCTCAGAAACAGTTTGGCGGCATTCAGATTGGGGATAATAAATCGACTGAGGGGTGATGGGAAAGGTTCTTGCTGTGGTCCGGCCAGCATCTAGCACAGTCAATGCTGTGTCTTGACACAGTTCCTTGGCGCTTGTTCCCGGGCTGCAGGCAAGAAGCCCTGTGTGCTGGGTAGGGCACCGGAAAGGCCTGAGGCCAAACCCCGGAGGAGGAGGTCAGTCAGTGGACCTGGGAGGGCAGGGGCCTGCAGGTGAACTGAGGTCCTGTGCAGGAAGGAGCCAGAGCAAGCAGAAGCGCAGAATCTCCAGGAGGGGAGGAAGTGGAAGCTGAATAAAATTCAGGTTACGTTGCCTCCAGGCGTCCCCTGGAATGGGGCCACCCAGGTACTGCCTTTATTCTCTACAGTGTTTTCGTGCCTTCCCCCTCAAGGACAGGCAAAAATACCTGCACCAGGAAGAACTGGCTTTGAAGTCCTCTTCTGGATCGGACCGTCGTCTTCCTCTTCCTGTCTCCCTCTCTTGCCCTGCCTCCTCTTCCACGCCCCTCCACCTCTGGCTTTCTTATTTGTGCTCTGAAGGCCTGACTTTCTCAGCCTTCCTGCTAGGCTAGTGAAGCCAGGAGGTGATCCCCACTGATGCAGGTTTAACATCATGTCTGAGATCTTGGCTGAGAGGGGCAACTGGACTAGCAGCTCGCAAGTGCCAGATCCCTCACCATGCCACCACCCTTGCTCATATTACCAAGAAAGAACAGTTGATACCATTTAAATAGTGTGTGGCTCCTGTCCGTGACAAGTGGCAGGGTGCCAGGGCACTTTCCACACCTTCCAGATTACGCTCAGTCTGTTCCTACCTTTGAGCCTGGTTGTTTCCTGCAAGGTTCAGTGGATCTGCTGAGGAGGTCTATCTGGATCCCTCAGCCTTCCTTCCTAGGAGAAGGCATACATTTCTCCCTTCAGGTCCCTCAATAGATTCAGCCCTCTAAGTTACATCTGTGTATTTAGATGAGTGTTCACATTTTTTAATTTGCATTAAAGCTAAGTAATTTGTATTTTCCCAAACAACCAGAATTTACTACTCTGTTTTATGCATTTTGTTACACAATTTATTTCTTGCTAATTTTAACATGCTGTAACAACATGCCTTAAAGCTAACAATGCTGTATTAAATTCCTTCATTAAAATAAGAAGACATTTACTCTACTTGCTTGTGTAATCTGAAATATGGATGTATAATTATGGAGATAATATTGCCTTTCAAATACATGTGCAATCAGTAGGAAAAAAAGTGTAACTACAAATTAAGATGTTACTAAAATTTAAATCTTAGGTGGGGAAAAGTTACAGTTCCGGTATATTTATACAAAACAAGTTTAGATGGTTACATTAAACCTTTAGTCAGTTTTAGAGTAGATGATACATTTATTTAAAATATTTATATTTCTAGCAGGCTATTATTTCATACAAGAGAAAACCATAAGGAACTGGTTTCATTAAATGAAAACATACGTATATTATATGACAAACATAAATAAATGTTTTGCATATAAGAGAAATTTAGAATTACAGATTATTTCATGTTATGTTTGTTTTCAAATATGTGCTTGTATTATGTCATATTTACTGCTCAACTCATCTGGGGAAGGAAATCCTTCCCTGTTTCCTCTGTTTCTCCTTCCCACCCTGCCTGCTTTCTTTTTTCCTTTCTTCCCCCTCTTCTCCTGCCCCTCCTTTTTTAAATTAAAGCATTTCCACAAAACAAACATGAATGTGAACAATGTATTATTAGTTAAAATAGATTATCCTTAAAGAATAGTTACTTTACGAGAATTTCAGTGGTTTATGCCAAAAAAATCTTTTAGTTTCCCTTCAATTCTAGTTACCTATTTTGATCTAGAAAATTTTATGTAACTATAATGATTATAAATTAAATTGTCATATTTTTAGGTTTTTTTGGAGCCACTCAAGTGAAATAGAATAAACAGCTATTATGTAATTCAGGCTAAAATACTATTTTTGCTTTAAATAGTTAGATTGTTTTTCTCTTAAGAACTTGGATAAAACTGCTATTTACTACAAGTACATGTGTATGTGTGTGTGTGTGTGTGTGTGTGTATGTGTTTGTGTGTGTGTATTCTTAAAGACAGATAAGCCCCTCTTCCCTCAAAGACCAAGTAAGTACAGTCTGCAGAGGAGTGAGATCTTCGTAAGTTGTTACAGTCTCCTTCGCTTATACAAGTCTGACTTGTGATTCAGGAGATACATGTGAAACTGTAATCTCACACTCAGATGCTCCCAAGTCATTCCAGACAAACATCTCAGCTGCATTATTCTTGACTGTTCCTGAGATGGT